ATTTATTTCAAAAAAGATTTTTGTAATATGCTTTCTATATCCTTTTAGATTCTGTAAAATCTGTGGTAATGTCTCCTAGATCTTAATATTGTAATTTTAAAAATGTACAACTGATATTGTGTAACAGGAAGAAAAGGTCTAAAAGAGCAGGGGAATTGGAAGGGGTAGGGGCAGGGAAAAAAGGGAAAGGAAAAAATATGAGAAGAGGAAAAAAATGGAAACAAGGTCTTTGCAAATAGGAAAGGGTGGAGTGCGTGAAGAGAGGGCAAGGGAAGGGGAAAAAAATAAGAACCAAGAGACTCATGTAATGCTATAAGATCCCAATGATGAATGTAACTGTATTTTATATGTAAAATGTACCAATAAAGTTAATGGGCAAAAAAAGAAAAAAGAAAGAGAGAGAGGGAGAGAGAGAGAGAGAGAGAGAGAGAGAGAGAGAAGAAAGAAAGAAAGAAAGAGGGAGGGAGGAAGGGAGGTGAGAAGGAGGGAGAGAGAAAGAGGAAGGGTGATCAAAGTACTTGAAAAAAGTCCTTTTCCTGTTATGGAAGCTAAACCAACATATGCCTTACAAATCTATAGTTCTATTCCTGGTTATGTATCCTCAACCAAAATGAGAGCTCATGGCCACCAAAGTTCATGTATACAAATGTTTATTGAAGATTTACCCATATAGCCCAAAGCTAAAAAAATGTTTAAAAGACTAATTATTTAGCAGTGCAGAATAGATAAGCTGTGGTAGAGTTATACCATGGAATACTATCTGGCAATAAAAAAGAACAAAGTAGTGTTACACACAAGATGAAAGAATCTTACAGTCATAATACTGAGTGAAAGACAGCCAAGTACAAAAGACACCATGTGTATTTCTTTTATTCAAAGATCAAAAGCAGACAAAACTAATCTATAATGAAAGAAGTAAGAAGAGGGGCTATCTTTGGTAGGGTGATTAACTAGGAGAAGGTATGAGACATCCTGCTATGGGGCTCCACATGCTCTACCTCTTGATTTAATGGTGGTAAAATGGGTGTTTATATATATATAAGTTTGTCAAGTGGTACAATTAGCTGTATGTAAGTTACATGTTATTTTTAAATTTTTAAAAAGAATGGTGGAAAAATAGCTGTTAAAAACAGGCTAAGGCAGGTCTGTGTGCAATGTTCAGTCAATAAATATTTTTTACTCCTACTATGGCCTATCTTAAGGACTTCTTTAAACAAGCTCACTGGGACAAAAGAAAGCTCCGGTGGGCAGTCTTAATTATTCTGTTATCTCTTTTCTCACCATTTTAATGTATTAATTATTTTGTGTCTGTATTTCTATCAAAAAGTTTATCTCTGGCATGACGTTAAGGGCTATTCTTTTTCAGATACATGTTTAATATTCATTCAGTGATTTTCAGATTGCTTAGCAAGCGCTTTCTTCAAGCACTCAACAGCAAAATCTGACAGTCTTTCTCACTGATGTTTAAAATGGATTTCTATTCCACCTCCCCTCTGATATTCTGTCTCAGTAGCTGTGAGAAGAGGCTCAGAAACGGGATCGAACTCATGATCTTGCACTTGCAAGGCAGGTGCAGTGCCACTGAGCTAAATCCCAGGCCCAGAAACTTACTTTAAGACAAATACACCCAGGAGGTTTAAATGCTGGTGGACCACACAACAAATTCTGAAATATGTTGACATGAGGAAGATGTTCTTTACTATATGGGGAAAAACTCAGCAACTACCACAACACTCTTTTTTGTTTTGTTTGTTTTTTAAATATATATTTATTGGTATATTTTAGGTGTACAATTCATTTACATTTATCATTGGGTGCTTGTACCTGTACCTGATGGATCTTTTGTTTTTTTGCTTTTTCCACAACACTCTTTTTAAAAAATTATTATTTAGATACTATCATTTTTTAGAAGCACATGAGGTCTAGGAATGAGCTTAGTGGCACAGTGGTGGCCTAGTATGAGAGAGGGCCTGGGCTTGACTCCAGCAACACACACACACACACACACACACATACTCACACACACCCTCTCATGCATGCACGCATGCACGTTCATGAAGTTCAAGATCGAAACTTAGACACATTAAACCGAAACTGTATAAAAATTCAAAAGTGGGGCCTGGGATTTAGCTCAGTGGTTCCAGTGCCTGCCTTGCAGGGGAAAGGTCCCGAGTTCGATCCCCGGTACCAAAAAAAAAAGAAAAATTCAAAAGAAAAATTAATAACAACACGTGAAGTTCTAAGTGTTACAAAACCTGACAACATAATTTTCCCATCTTGACAACTGGCCAATAAGTTTCATTTCCCATCAGGAAAGACAATAATCAGTTTCCTGGCCCTACCTTAGCCCGACATGGCTAACGGGTGAGAACTGGCTCTTTGTACTGCATGGCTGCAATTTCCATTGTAGAGCTGAATCTCCACGAGCTCTTAGCCCAGCCAGTGGCCAGTTGCCTGGGACATGGTGGAATTTTTGTGTGCAAGTAAGGTAGGACATGGCATTTATTCAGTCATGAGCCCCTGGGGATATATTAAATTCACAGTTACACTCTGAGGCTGGGCAGTCTGCCATCTGTGAGCTCCACAGTGGAGGCCCACCCTGAGAATCCTGATCCCTCTGCACACAACACCAGCAGTAGAGGTTGGGCCCACATTCCCTTTGCCCCTTGGTAGGGAGACCCCATGGGAAGGTGCCCAGTGAGACCACTGTGAGAGAAGAAGGGGGCTCAGAAAGCACACTCCTCATCCATTTGTGGCTTCTCTAAGGAGAACCCACATCCAGCAGGTACGGGGTCTCTGCTCGAGTGTATTGTGAAGACAGCTGGATATCCACCAAGCTCCGGCTCCTTACCTTGGGCAGCCTCCTTGAAGAAGGAGTACCAGCCATCACTGCTGACTCCCAGGACCAAGGAGCAGAGGACAATGCCAATGCAGAGCCTCATTGTGCTGAAGTAAAAGAAACAGTAGTCAAAAAGACCCTGTCTGAGGTTTTAATTTCAGAGACAGCCTTAGAATCACTACTGTATGAAAGATTGAAGTGGGTTTTAAGAAAAACCACAAACCCTTAGTTCTCAGTCAGAGCTCTAGAAAAAAATAAGAAGGTTCCAAAATGTTGCTGGTCTGTGGCCCAAATGCACCCAATAAAGCAAACTAAAGTCAACCAATAAACACCTCCTGAGTTGCTACTCTGCTCAGCACTGACCCCGTGAAGACACTGAAAACACAATTTCTTCCCACTTAGAATCTGCCAACTACACAATAAAATGGATTGCAAGAGTGAAACAAGAGAAATTACTTCCAGGAGAAGCATCACCTGTGATCCTTTCTCCATCTGAAATTCCAGGGGAAGGGAGGCTGCTGGTACCTTGCTGCCGTGAAAAGCCAGCTGGAATCTCCTGGCTTCAGCGTTAATAGGAAGACAGGTCTTAAATCCAACAACTGCTTTGGCAAAATCCCTCTTGCTTAATCCTTCTCAGCAAATACCATGAGTGTTGAGTAACAGTGTCTCCTTATCCACAGTAGTTTTCCAAATCAGGTCATGCAAATTATTTGTTTTCTGGCAGTCTTTCCTAAATGCCACCTCCCCCTTTCAGTCTCTTAGTATCACAGAGAAGAATTGTATTTGCAAGATCAAGTATAGGGGAACATGAGTCTTTCTCCCCTTTGTGACTGACCGTTCTCTCCTCTTTTTAGGAGGAGGTTTTCCCCCAAAATTGTACATAGATATTATGTTCCATGAGGTAGTCATATTATTAGCAAAGTAGATATCCACTTACCTCTTGTGACTTTTCTCTAGGGAATGTAAGGACTGAGGATAAGCAAAATCTGCCTCTACCAGTCATAGGATGAAGTAATGATTCTGGAAGAATAGAGGAAAGAAAGGAATAAATAGGAAGATCAATCATGAGCTAGGCAGACTGACTTGGATGGATGGATGGATAGTTGATAGATACATAGATACATAGGTAGATGGGTAGATAGATAGATAGATAGAAAGAATTTCCCTTTTCACAGAAATATATGTTGTTCTATTCTCTTTAAAACTTATGTCTTGGTGGTTCTTCCATATCACATTTGTTGCTTTTTTTATAGCTACACACTATTCACTACACACTGCATGCATGAGCCATAATTTATACAAAACCGATGATGATTTTGACTGTTACCAATATTTTGTTGTTGCAAATTATGCTGCATTTATTAACCTTATTTATAGGTCTCTGGCACGTGTACAAATATAACATGTCTCTAGAATAAATTCCTACATAAGAAATTACATGGTGAAAAGGTATGAGACTTTATACATTTTCGTGGACATGCAAATTATCTTCCACGAGGTAATTTAACAATTCATGAGGAAATTCTAACAATCTGCACCCCCACCAGAAACAAGAGTGCTTGGTCTCACAGCAACTCTCGCACAGCACCCTTGCCAAGCCTTCAGCTTTGCAAAATTTGGGTAAACGAAATATAACTCAGCATAATTTTTTTTGTATGGGGATCGAACTCAGGACCTTGCGCTTAGAAGGCAGGCACGGTGCCACTGAGCTAAATCCCTAGCCCTAACTCGGCATAATTTTAATTTACACTTCCCTTATCATGAGTTTGGTTTTACATCTTTCTATATGTTTAAAACCCGTTTGCCTTTTCTAGGCATTATAAATTTATATCTTCATATAAAAGTCGTCACTTTCTTATTGGTTTGTGGGACTTTTATTTATCATTTTGCAAGAGGCTTTTTAGGGAAAATGAGTACATTTTCTATCATTGAGTTATAAATATTCTTTCCAACTTGTTATTTATCTTTTATTTTCAGGGGGGGTCATGTTATGCCAAAAAGCTTATGTTTTTAATTAATATTTTCTTTAGCGTCTTCTGAATTTTGTGGTATACTTTAAATGACTTTACCCATTTTGAGTCTTAAAAGTATTTTCCATGGTCGCTCCAGATATCACTAGTAATAACATATTCATTATTTATTTATAAATGTTAGGTACCGCTGATAATTCTCCTAGCATAATCTATTCAGCATGTTTTCAACTTTATGTTATTTCAGATGGCCACCTCGTAGTCCCAGTCCTGTTCATTGAATAGTCCATATGCTACTTACTTCCCTGATGTACAACCTTTATCAAATACTGAATTCTCATATGTAACTCTGAGACCTTTGGTGCATTGACTAGTTTTTCTATGTATGTGTCAGTAGTACAGTTGTACTTATTCAGCCTCTGTTCAGTGTTTTAATTGCTTTTATTGCTCTTCTTCTTCAGAAGTAGTTGAGGTTCTTTTCCAGTATTTCTTCTAACTGCTCATTTTTGTATCCAGAAATATTATTGTTTACATAAAACTGTGTTGCCCGCCTGCTTCCGCTATCTTCTTGTCCCTGTTAATATTTCAGTCGAAATGTGGAGTGTCCAGTCTTCCTATCACATCTCCCGTCATTCTCTCTACACCGGTTCCTCTTGGTTCTCAGGCCTCTCTTCCTCTGTAACTGTGTTCACTAGATCAGCAATGACCCCACATTGTCAAGTCAGAGGCCAGTTTAGCTATAGCTCAGTAGCTACTGACGCTACCAACTGACCAACCACCCCATCATTAGGGGTTCTAGAATACCAGCCTCTCTTGGTTTTCTTTCCCCAGGAGCTGTGCTTTCCAAGTCTTCTCTGCAGATTCAACTTCTGGTAGATTTATAAAAGAGTGAGACTAGAATGCTGGACTCTGAGTCCAAACTCGAAAGGCCATGAGCTTTTAGTGGTGGTTGTTTACACTGCCCTCCATCACCTGGATCACAGTAAGCTCTTAGTAAATATTTGCTGACTGAATACATGGAAGAACATTCCTGAATGTTTTAAATATTTCTTAATTCAATAGCATGCTTTAAAATGACAGTTAGCTCAATGTGGCTATACCGTGAGGCATGTGAATCAAAGCTGTAAGAGATAAGGCTGAAAAGATTGGATATCGTATTAGGGTTCTCTAGTGAACCTCTCCAGGGTTCATTCTGACTATCTCCCTCTCAATTATGGGAATTATGAGGAAATGGCTGAAAAGTCTCATGGATCCAGAGACCCAGGAAAGCTGAAGAGGTAACACGGTCTGAATCTGAAGGCTTGAAAACCAGAGGGACCAAATCCTAGTCCCAGGGCAGGAGAAGATGAGATGTCTCAGATCAAGCAGTTAGGGAGGAAGAAAATGGGACTAAATTCCTCCTTCCTCCGCCTTTTATTCCATTGCAGCTTTCCAGGATTCTATGATGCCCAACCATTGGGGAGGGCAATCTATGTTACTGAGCCCCCAATTCAGATGCCAATGAATATCATCCAAAAGCACTCTCATACACCCACCCAAAATAATGTTTAATCGGGTCACCCTGTGGATCACTCAAGTGGATGCATAAAATAAACTGTCCTAGAGAACAAGTCAGTTTCTAATCTTTTCTAACGGAGAAGAGCTACAAACATGTTATTTCTTGCAGAAGGAAAGAAGATCATTAATACCAAGTGTATTGGTGTATTTGAGCATAGATTAGGTGTGATGCTATAAATCATAAATTTCGGGCTAAACACAGCACCTTCTTCTTTGATTTAAACTTTAATGTTTTTCATATCACAGACTTTAAGTGAAATAATTTGATCATTTAAAGACTGAAGGGCTGGGGATTTAGCTCAGTGGTTCTGCTGCCTGCCTTGCAAGCACAAGGTTCTGAGTTTGATCCCCAGTACCAAAAAAAAAAAAGAAAGAAAGACTGAAAAATGAACTTCTATATCCAAGCTTTATTTCATCATATTATTTTAGTAACATATACTATAGAATTTTATATATATGAAGTGTGATCAAAAAATACAGTGAATCCTTAAACCTTTTCTTTTTCTCGATTCATTATAGTAAAAGACACATTGCCATTAGCCGCCCTCAAAATACTCCCCCACAATTTGAACACACTTACCCGGTCATTCTTGGCACTGTCTGAAGCAGTTGTAGAATCCTCCTTCATCAGTATCTTTAGCTGCACTGTCATGGCTGCCTTGATGTCCTGAATCAATTCAAAACATTTACCTTTGTTAATCATTTTGACCTTGGGGAAGAACCAGAAGTCAAACAGTACCACATCTGTTGAATAATGTGGGTGAGGACACACTATAATATTTCTATAAGCCTGCCTTTCTATTAGATGGCATTCAGCAGCAGCATTCACCATATTTGTATTATACCCTGTAAAGACTCTCATGGAAGAGGACTTCCAGAACTGCTTCAGAAAGTGGCAAGAACAATGGGATAAGTGAGTTCCAAGGAAGGGGTTCTCTTTTAAGGGGGGGGGCCAATGGCAATGTATCTTTTACTGTAATAAATTTTGTTTAATTTAAACATTACCCATATATTTTAATCACACCTCATATATGAAGGCTTGGAAAGTTTGATTTATTTTGCTATAAAAGACATTCATTTCTCTCATCTTCCTTCCTACCCCTCCAAACTAAAATTTCAGTACTTGTAATACATATCTAATTGTGCACATCCAAATATAAGCATTAGAGTTTTTGACACTTTTTGCATCATCAGATTTTACTACATTGAACCTTAACCTCAACAGTACCTTGAGCTTTCTCTCACTAGCCCATCTGAGCCCCCGTTCCTGTCAGCATATGCATCTTACCTATGTCTTATTTTGGAATACACTCAGCTTCCTACTTTCCAAACCTCCTTTACCTTCTGATGCAAACTTTCTATCAACAATTTTCTCTCCTACTTGATAACTCATTTGTCTTTTGCCTGTAAATATAACTATTATTAACTTTCTCCCCTTAAGAGTCCTCTTTGCGGCTGGGGATTTAGCTCAGTAGTGCTGCCGCCTGCCTCGAAAGTGGAAGGTCCTGAGTTCGATCCTCGAAACCCCACCCAAAAAAGAGACCTCTTCGCAAAATAGAAATGCATGTCAGTTATTAACTTATTTACTTTAAGCCACACATCTACTTCCCTTGTGCCTTTTGTGGTACTGGAGCTGGGACTGCTAAACATTTCTCCTTTGATGACTGTGCGTGATGTTCATCTTTGTCAGAGGAGGCCACTAGAATAATGTCTCCATTTATAAGTGCTATCAATTCAGGGCTCAACCCTTACGACCTCATTTAACTGGAATTCCATCCTTCCTCCAAATAGAGCTACCCTGTGACATATGAGCTTCAACACATGAATTTCGGGGGCATACTGTTCACTCTAGAAAGCCACCCCTTCCTCAGCTGTCTTCTCAGGGAGTTCGGCAGCCTGTTACTTGCTGTTCCCGTGTGGGCAGCTTCCAAGTTGGTTTGCAGGAGCCCCAGCTCCATTCCCAGGAAGTCCCTCTGCACTCCTGGACAGCTTCCTGTCAAGTTCCACTGCCACCTGCAGAGACTCCATATTTTTTGTTGGTACTGGGGATTGAAGCCAGAGCCTTTCTGCTAAGTTACATGCCCAGCTTCTTGTTTATAGAGTTCATGTTTGTCAGCTTCATTGTGGCACCCTACTATTTTCTCTGCCATCCAAAGGGCTACAGACATTCCAATAAGACTCACAGGTCAACCTCTAGGGGAACCTTTCTTAAATTTATTCCTCCATTTATTAGCCTTACTAGTAAACCCTATTACTAGTTATATGAGTCAGCTTTCTGTTACTGTCCCAAATATCTCAGATAAACAATCAAAAGGAGGAAGGATTTATTTTGGCTTACACTTTCAGAGGATTCATTCCATAGTTGCTCAGTCCCACTGATGTGAGCCTGAGGGAAGGCTGAATATCAGGGCAGAGAGGTCTTACTTGGTGAGTGAATGAAAAAATTTTGAAGCTAATTTTATGATTTCTGTGTATTCTGAACTATTTACTTATTAGATGGTCAGAAAACTTTGTGCCAAGGCAGTGAGATTGATGTAAAGATATTTTTTAGGTTTCGGTATTAAATGTTTTCCTAGTTTTGACTGCCTGTGTGCAGGCAGTAGCTTAGAGTGGTAATGGTATCACAGGCCTATCTTCCTAGCTATTTGGGAGGTGAAGGCAGCAAGATCACAAGTTCAAGGCCAGCCCGGGCAACTTAGTGAGATGTTGTCTTAAAATCTATTTTTAAATGAAGGAAAAGAAAAAGCTGAGAATGCAGCTCTGTGGTAGAGTGCCCCTGGGTTCAATCCCCAGTACCAACAAAAGAAAAAAAAAAAAAAA